ATGAGTTCGAATCACGTCGATGACAATTCTCTTAATTTGATAGAGAATTAATGGTAGAGACTAATACTCCAACCACTAAGCTACTAAGATTTTCTAATAATAATTTATAAATAAATTATATTTATATACAAATAAATGTATATCCGTATAAATATATAAATACAAAATATATAAATAAAATATATTTATATATTTTGATATAATTATATATTTATATAGTTATATAGTTATATATTTACATATTTATATGTTATGTGAGAATGCGTTCGAGAGTGAAGGTGTGTGTCAAGTGAGTTTTTAAAATTTGATGTCAAATTTGTGAGCGAGTCTCTTTATATGGGTTTGTAATTTAATGATATAATATAATCTTTATAATTTATTTATATAATGATATAAAATAATTTTTTTCTTTATTTATTTTTATTTTATTTTATTATTTTTATCTTTTTTTCTTCTATTATTTAATTGAAATTCTTATATTAAATTAATTTTTTCAAATATTAAAACTAATTAAATATTTATTTATAAAATTATTTTATTTAATAAATTATTATAAATTAATCTATGTCTCGGAAAAAATAATTATTAAAAGATGATTTTGATTAATTTATAATAATCTATGTAAGGAAAAAATTGTTCTATTAATTAGATTAAATTTGGTATCAAATTTTGAAGATCCACTCGATACACACTTTCACCCTCGAGTGCGCCCTCACATCCAACATATAAATATATAACTATATAAATATATCAAAATATATAAATATATTTTTATTTATAAATCGAATTCAATTGTAGTGATATATTTCCTAATCTTTAAATTTATGGATGATTTTTAAAAATAAAATCGAAAAAAAAACTCTAAAATAGATAATATATAATAATTAGTAAAACATTTAAAGAGTAAAATAAGGATTTTTATTATAAAACACAATTAAGAAGATATTACAATCCTGTGTTATTGTGATGGTGAATGTTGGGATTGTAGGGGAAGACCTAATTCATAACTCAATTTGTTGGTGCATGAGAATGAATATGAGAAGTAAAAGAAGGTTTTGTACATACACAGTATGTATCAATACATTTGCAACCACAAGATGCACATGGACGATGTGCACAGTCTTCGTCCCTAACACAGTGAATATGCACAATTGGTCCCCTTGCTTCACATTTTATACACAAATCTGCATACACAAGATTAATGTTAAAAAGAAAAAAAATGAGTTTCCAAGAATAATTGTTGAAAGTAAAAATAAGATGACATGAAACCTGATGCAATGATGAAGAAAGCCAATGAAAATACCAGTAGAGTGACAGAAGACTTCCTTGTAGTTTCCATCTTGTTGCAGAATATGATTGTAGAAGATGACTGAAGAAGATGATTGCAGAAGATGATTTTTAATACCTATTTATAGAACAAAATGGTGATACCTTCTTAAACATTTTTGTACTAAAACTTATAACTGCATTAATTGATGCATTAAATGTAAATATAAATGAAGTATATTATTTTCATTTGTAATAAATAAGGATCTTTCATAATAGTTAAAAACTGTTACCAACTTCATTATTAATTCATGCTTTTGTCATGTGGTCGTGCTAACAGATCTTGACAAGGAAGCTAAAATAGATTGTTAAGACAAAATATATGTATACATTTGGAAAGTTGTTTAAAATATATATATATATATATATATATATATATATATATATATATATATTAATTTAAAATTAATTAATTTATAGTTATAATTTAAATGTAATGCATATGAAGCTTGTGAATAATTATTTTTATGATACATTGAAAGTGCTTTCACCCTTTTATAAGTAAAATCATCAAAATTTTATTATTTTAATTTGTTTCATTTAGGTATTTCAATATTATATTTGTTACGAAATATTGTTAAGATTAATTATTATATATATGAGGTATTATATGTTTTGCAACTTTCGTCCATTACGATTTTATTTTTAAGAGATGTCTTAATAGATTAAGAGAGGATGATATATACAAATTATTCTTGGTCTTGTTGTGATGTGAGATTCATAAGCCTACCGAAGCATAAGTCATCGGTTGAAGACTAAGGGATATGAGTAGAACGAGACTCGACTCTCGATCTTACACTGTGTAAGAATAAAAATATCCTAGTTTCATGTTCATTGTAATAACATTATTATGGTTAATTTGCGTATTCAATGTATTATCCATTTTGTCAGTCGAAGACTAAAAGATATGAATAGAATCGGACTAATCTCTCGATCTCACGATGTATACCAATGTTTCGTCTAAAAGTAAAAGTATCCTAATCTCATATCCCTATAATAATATCATTATGATAATTTCGCATATTAAAAATAAAAATAAATAAATATGAAGAATCCCATAGTTATATTAGAAAATAAGATCTCCAAATAGAAAATAAAATCCCAATACTCCAATTTCAATTTGTTTAATTTTTATAAATATTAAAATGTAAATTAAGTATCTTAATTCAAAATATACTATTTATGTTAATAACAGAATGAATGACGCTAATTAATAATAAAAAGGTAATGAATTTATAAATTAAATAATAAGTTAAATATTATATTTTCTTAAACATACTTATTATAAACGTCAAATCTTTATTACACAAAATATATTTAGAGATATCTCTTTTATTGATTTGACTACATGCATAAAAATATTATTTTGTAAATATCTAAAATTTGTAGGATTACCTTAATTTTTTTTTCTTCATTTAATGTAATGAGATATTATTTTCATTATTTTTTATTTGAATAAAGACAATTTTCTTTTTTTTTTTCATGGTGATGTCATTCCTTCTAACTTTTTTTTGTGTGTTAAATCTGGTCATGATGATAAGTATTGAACATTTACTTCTTGTTTATTTAATTTTTCATTCCTATCACTTACTTTTTCATGATTTTGCAAACTAAGTTTATCTCTTTTTCTTTATCATAAAAATATTATTAGTTGTTGTAATAATTATAAATATAAAAATTAATTTTAAAAATTAATAACTAAAAGTAATTAATATTGAATAAAAGCATATAACAATGTATAGGTGGTGTGGATATTTCATTAGAGTTTAATAAAAGTTTTATAATTTTTATATAATAACTAAAATATGATAAATTTATTTATTTTAAATAAGGACTATACAATTTTTCATTATATCTAAAAAATACTTATTTATAATATTTTAGTTTTAATCAAAATGTTAAATTTTATAATTTTTCTACAAATATTAAAAAAATATATTAGATAAATTTTTTTTAGGTGACATCTTTTTTATTTCTAAATTTTAAATATGTAAGTTGAGACAATCTATATTTTAATTTTTTTAATATGAAAATTTTCCGTATCTGATGAACTCGTTCTTTCTTTCTAGATATTATCATAATTTTTTAAATTTGATTTTAGTAATAAATATGTATTATATTAATTACTTTTAATTATGAAAACATGCAAAATGAAAAATTATCACAACTTACATTTTTAAACATTGGAAATAATTAAATCTAAATATTTAACTATCTATTAAATTTTCAAATTGCTAACATTTATTAAAAAAAAAGAACAACTTGACTTAAAAAAAAACTAAAATTATAATATATTATTATTTAATTATGGAAAAAAAAACTTGAAGACATAAAATTATCACAATTTGTGTTTCAAATTTCATGATTAAAAAGACGTTAAAATCATCTCAAATTTTTATTACACTGTAGATACTGTGGAAAAAAAAAAAAAAGTTGTGAAAGTGTGGATGCTTCAATTGAGTTGAATTTGAAATACATGGTTCCTGGAGATCCTCTGGACAAAAAATTCATAAGGTTACGGTTATAAGCAACATTTAATAATATTGGAAAGTAATTGTAACATCAGAAAATACTTTATTTTGCAATGAAAATATATTCTCGATTATTTTATGAGTTTCAACATATTCATTGTTTTAAACCTAATCAATAATCCCGTATCAATAAGGGTGAACAAAAAGTCTGGTTGACTCAAACTGCTTCATTATTGGAATGATCTGATTCATTTAAAATCTAATTAATTAAAATTAGAAAATCCAAAATCCAACCCAAACTACTTACCACTGCAGAATAAATCAGATAGCAACTATTAAAATATATAAAAATAGAGCACTACTATGCAACCTTAAATTAAATTAATATTAAGTATAGTTGCAGGGTGGCAATCTGAATTAATCAGTCAAAATAAACTCTTCCTGTAAATAAAAATTATTTATAATTTATAATATTGCTTTAGTATGTGTTTGTATTATAATCTATTTAGTAATGAAATCGACCATAATCCAGAACATGAACACCCGATCTCCAAACTCATAAGGTGCAGTAAGTAGTTACACAATGTAACACCTGCACCCCCTAAAATTGAAGCAAAATAATATATATTATCAAGATTCCATAGGTAAAGGGTTATGATATATTACAACCCATTTTTCCTAAATATCCATTCCATAATACACTTTTAGATTTTTATATTATTTACCTATTTTACTTCATTCTTTTTTCAACAATTAACCAAAAAAATAATATTTTAAGATTTTTAAGATTGTTGTGAAGTTTAGAAAAAAATCGATGACAATAAATCTTTTCCCATAGATAAATTCATTTATTTTCGTAGCCAACATTTAAATCACAAATGCCCAGAAATGAGGATCCAATGGTTTGAGTATTGGGTTTGGATTTAATACTATGAATGAACCTAAAACATAGACTGTGTGTGAAGAGCCTTCTCTGCCTAGAAAAAATATGTTCACTGGCAAATTTGATAGTTAAAATCCCCAAATCAGTTTCCAATGCCACATCCTATTGAAATATTTGGTTCACATTAACTTGGGAAACATTTAGATCTCGGTTCAAAAACAAACTCCACCATCTTTAAACCTAAATGGAGACTAGATAAATATACCGGAAAAAAGGTGATGAAGAGTGAGCATGGTTTCAAAAGTAAAAAACTAACAGTATTACAAAACCACAGCGTATGACAAAATCCTAAACATAATCCCAGAATGAAATATCAAAATTGATCAGAAGGTAACATTTTTTTTCAATAAAACTGGAAATCAAAGCTCACATCCCAGTGAATGCCTTCTTTGCACCGCTTGAAGATCCGGCAGGGATGACTTTCAATACATTAAACCTCACTGTCTTAGAGAGAGGCCTGCAGAAGTCATACAAATAAAAATGAGACAGATATCTCTATACCTATAAAATGTATGAACCATCGAGGTTGATACACAAAAGCAGTTTACTTTAATAAAATCTCACCTGCATTGACCGATGATTACATGATCTCCTTCCTTCACACGGAAGCAAGGTGATATATGGGCAGCAATATTTGAATGCCGCTTCTCGTACCTTTAAAAAAAGGGAATTATAATTAAGTTTCTCTAAGCATAAAAGTACAAAAGAAAAAATAAACTGAACAAAAAAGCATGGCAGGATAATACCTCTGGTACTTCTTAATAAAATGAAGATAATTTCTCCTGACAATAATAGTCCTATTCATCTTAGCACTGTGACATGTTCCAGCTAAGATACGACCACGGATGGAGACGTTGCCAGTGAAGGGGCACTTCTTATCAATGTAGGTTCCTGTATTAAGAATTTGGAATAAATTAATTAAAAGGAGTTGAAAAGTATTTCCAAAATTTGGATTTTCATTTTAGTGTAAAAAATATTTCCAAATCATGCTTGCATTTTACCACACTAAAAAAATATCTACATGTTCTAAGTTAGAAAAAAATGGCTACAAGCATACACCCTATATCAAACAAACTAATCCTTGAATACGGAACATAAAAATGTTCACAGCGTATACATCTCCGACAAATTGGACTCAACATGCTTGTTTAAGAATCATCACAGTAAAAAAAAAAAAAAAAAAGCACCCCAGAAAACCAATAACAGATACCAACTATAACAAATGGTTTCTTTGGGAATGCAGTTTCTTTAATGCGAGGCACCCCACATCAGCAAGTTTAACTTCTATAATAACAAGAAAAAACACACGGCCGAAACAATAGCCTGTAGATTCAAATCTGAAAGAACAAAAAATATTATACCTTCGATGGCTTCCCTGGGAGTCTTGAATCCAAGTCCAATCGATTTCCAAAAGCGGTTTCCACCTTTACCAGGTCTCTTCCCCTTTCCAGTTTTCTTCGAGCTACGAAAGCAAGCAGAAAAAAAAAAATAACTTTTCGGAATCAAAGTCACAGCGTAAAATTCAAAATTAAGAATTTTTCAAGTATTTAGCGTACCTGAGGAACACCTTTGGTTGCTTCAGAAAAGCCTTCTCGGTCTGCAATACACAATCACAAACACAATCAACGGAAGATCCAAACAAGTCCTTAAAAAAACTGATGAAACGAAATGGACGAATGGAGAAATGAAGAATAATCGTACTTGTTCAGCCATGGTGAATGGAGATGACGGCAACAGCTGCAGAGAAGAGTGTTGGACTCCAAAAACCCTAATCACTTCACTCACACGGATTCGAAGGAAAACGCTGCTTTTTGTGGAGATTTCTGGTTCTGGGCTTTTAGTGGGCTGTGACTTAGCTTGGCCCAAACAATATTCCCCTTAAATATTTATCAATAGTAATGTAAATAATAAGTTTGTATGAAGAATAAAAAATACATTTTCAAGATAAATAGTAAAATTTGTTTTATACTATTATGTAAGGTATTTTTTTTTAATCGTTTCTAAGTTATAGCTTATAAAATATTATTATCTTTCAAGAATATAAAATTACAAAATCAAGTAAATTAATTTTATTTAAAATCATAAATACAATACCGATATTGAAACGGATTATTCAGATAACACCTGAATATTCTTTTGTAAATTCATTGATAAAGAACACAAAACACTAATATTTATTTCAGCAAATATTGACATTTTTAAATTATTTTTTAAACTAATTTTAAAGGAAAAAAATTATTAGACAATCTCTTTCTTATCAAACGTCCTTTTAATAACTTGATTTATTAATAAAAAAAATTTAATTAATTTTATTTTAATTGAATTACTTTGTGATTATAATATTAATAAATAAATTTGTTGATAAGACTCGTTCACGAGCTTCCTAGAATTTGTAGATTTTAGTATTTGTTATAATCTTGTTTAGTATTAGTTTTGATTTTTGGAAATCTTTACTTTTTTTAATCAAAAAAAATTATCTTTTAATTTTAATTATCCACAATTTTGATTTTTTTTTAATTTAACACTTTAATTCCTAAACAATAGAGACACAGACATATTATTTACTAATGTTTGATAATTAAACCTCTGTTTTTACTAAGAAATACCTTTTTGTAAAGTCACTAACTTTGTTTAAAATGATACGTTTTATATTTTTATAGTTTTTAATATATTTGTAATTTCGTATAAATATTTGTTGGTAACTGTGGATGCATAAAATTCAACATTCACATAAATATAATTAGTTTTATAATCATATGTATCCTTCATCGTTTTAATTTATAAATTGTGTCTTTTAAAAATATATTATATTTTATTATCATATATTCATTTGTTAACAAGAATATTAATACTAAATATTTTAAAATAACTTTCTAGTTTTCTTAATATTTGTATATCACTGAATTTCGTGATAATTAGTTATTTATTAGATTTTTATTTGTTGAGAATATACATATATATATATATATATATATATATATATATATATATATATATATAAACGAAACACTAATCAAGTTATATTAATAAATTATTTATGCTTAAGAGTATATTTCTTTCTGTTTTTACTATGGATATCGTTTAAAATTTTTTAAAGAACAGCATTCTATAAAATCTTAATGCAAAAATAATATTCATCATATACAAATTAGTTTTTTTTTATTTTAAAATTGACAAAATAAAAAAAATTAAATATATGTGTATTGATTATGTGAGAGAAAATATATTTTAAAAACATGTGACAGATTATATAATATTAAATAGAGAATGTTTTTCTTTTTCCAATTTTAGAGTATATTTACAAAATTTGGACTAAGATTTGGTACAAGAGTCTTGCATAAGACTTTAGTGGTGTAAATATGGGTTTTAACTAGTTTAGAAACATCGTAGTAGGTTCAATTTGTTAATTGAGATTTTTTGTGAGCATGATCTAACTTTCTAGGAAATTAGAGACGTGAAACTTTAAAGTTTGAGAACACTGAAATTGGAAAGTAAGGAAAATTAATTGTTCTGAGTTTCATAGTACTTTAGGTTATAAGATATAAATTATGGAGGTGACATGGTAGAATTGTTTGCTTGGTTGTTTCTTAAGTTTTAATTAAATGAGTTAAGTTAGATTAGTAATATGTATAAACTATTAGGGTATGATAGTTATACTTGGACTAGGTATGACATATTTAAAAAAAAAAAATTGAGTAATAGTCTCATAAGATAGTGTTTGATGTCTGAAGTGTAATTTAACACGAGTTTAACATGTTTGTGATATGTATATTTCATTTAGACGATAATTGATCGCTCAAGCAAAATGTGCAAAAGAGGAAATGACTCCTCTTTGGTGGATTTTCGCTTAAGTGACAATATCTTACTCAAGTGAAAGAGATTTGTTTCGAATGTATTTTTGTTCAAGCTAAAGTGAGTCTAACTCAAGCTAAAAAATTGTTCAACTCAAGCGTTAATTTTCCAGAAAATGAGTTGATTATAAAGTGTATTTTTACTCAAGCAAAATTGCATAAATTTTTTTTGCCCAAAATTCTAAAGCTCATAAAAAAAATAGCTCATAACTCCAAATATAACATTTCATATATGCAAATCAAAGCCCTTAAAATAAAAAAATTCAATGAACAATAATTAGTTAAAAATGATATTTATAGGAAAAGTTATGACTACAAAAATATACATAAGTTAAATTCCACAAATTTATTCTTTACTAAAATGTGAGAAATGTTATATACATAACTTAGAATAATAGAATACATGTAGAACATAAAATAATGTGTATTGGATGCTATTATATGTATATAAAAAAATATGTTGTAATGTGAGAAATATCATGTGATACTCTTATGTGTATGTTATATTTGTAATAAATTGATAAAAATTAATACAGTAGTTTCGAATTACTAAACTTAAGTATCAGGTGGTGAGAGTTGAAGGAGGTCTCTATGACTTAACTTGTGATGTGAAAACAAAAAAAACTATATTTGACAAGTCATAATGATTTACCTTGTTACACGAGGGAACGTATTTCAACTATGTATCTATGTTGGAGATTTTCACTTAAGAAAGATAGTGTGACATATGCATTCGAGAAGCAGAGTTAAGTGTCTATGGTTGTGAGTGTAAGTGTATGATGATATGAGATGTAACTTACATGCTAAGATGTTAGACACTTGATTTATTGTATAGTTGTAGTGCTTTATTTATTTATTCATATGTGTATATTAAGAATATTTTGTGATAATCAGATGAGTAAAATTTTTTATCACTGGCTTACTCTAGTTTGTGTGGTATGTTAATCTAGGTTACAATTAACATGTTACTATACCTGAGCGAGATAATATTTCATGTGGTCAGTCTCAATAAGACGTTGAGAAGTGGAGAGGAAACATTATATTTCATTTTATTTAATATATATAATGAATTTATGAAATATAATATTCCTTTTGAAATGTTTAGACATGTGATACAAATAATTTAATTTCTTTAGTATCCTTAGATATTTTTAAATATTATATTTTAACTTAATACGTTATAATTTTCATTAATAAATATTCCTTAAATTTTGATAACTACTTAAAAAGTGTGATGTTTTGATTTTATTTTAAATTTTCAATTACTATTATTATGCTTATTGAATTATTTAATAATGTTGTATTAATTATTTAATTATGATTTTTGGATTTTGATATGTTTGATCTTAATATTTGTTTTATAGAAAATGGGTCGTGTAAGAGTAACCTTAAAACCTATCTCAAATGAAAGACACCGCAAGACAACTTTCATGCGTAGAAAGATGGGAATAATTAAGAAAGTTTCTTAATTTTCCACCATTTGTGAAGCATAAACATGTTTGATCGTACAACGATGATGTCTCACTATCAATTTGATGTTCCTCAAAATTCAACTAATCAATTTGGTGAGACTGATTTGTTTACTTCAGAAAATATTATTGTACAATCTCAAGATAATCAACAAGAAATAGTTTTGTCTCCATTTTAAGCTTTGTTTAATGATTATCAAGCATATTACAATAATATGCTTCCTTTTATGTGACTGGATTTTTATGTAATCCCTAGTTAGTTTAACATTTTTTCTCATCATGTTAGTATTTGACTATTTTTAATATAATATTTTTATTGAAATAATTGTCCAACATTAGACTTTCAATTATTAATTTGATTTTTATTTTCATCATTTTTGTTCATGATTATTTCTTTTATTTTTTTTCTTAATTATCCATCACCAATGTTTATAATTTTAATGTAAAAAGAAATAAAATAATTTTGTGGGATGAAATTATGTTATATATACTGTTCTAATTAAATATCGTCTCATCTTATATTTATTACGACAATTTTAAAAGACGTTTCATAAATTAAATAAAGAAAATATATATAAATTATTTTTTTACCTTAATTCTTAAGTGATTTAAAATTCGTCAATCATACTTACTCAATCCTAATGTTTTATTGGATTAAAGATTCTAAATATGCTAAAATATTATGTAATAAAAAAATATGTTCTCTAAAATTACCCAATTATAAATTACCGATTTTTAAAAAAATATGAAGATAAATCAAACGAATATTTATTATCTCGGAATAAAAGCTTAATGGGATAAAATAATATAAACTTGTTCAGAGTATCGAGCACGTTAGAGGAATTTTGAACAGATTAATGATTTTTATATTTATTTCAATAATTATGAAAATGTTTTCTAAATATTTTTTTTATAAAAGATAAAAATATGCATATTAATAAATGAATAAAATTTTTAAAAAGTCTGAATATAAGAAATTTTATATTTTCAACAATAAAATATATAAATTTGATTACTTGTATTATTCGAGTACATTTTTTCTTTGAATTTAACAATGATATCAATAATAAAACACACACAATGAATTAAAAAATAAAAATATGATAAAAGTGTAATTTTCCCCAAAACATGAATAAAGCCCCTGAAAATAGTATCGGAGCGCGTATGTATGAGGAGCCGTTTCCCATCCAACGGCCAGGATGGAGCCTTCACCAACGTCTATTTTGATTTCGCCCTTCCTTGTTTCTTCATCCATCGCTCTCCAACGGTCACATTTTCTCAAAATACAAATAATTCCCTCACTCTCTCGCTCTCTTCCATTCTCAAAACAACAAGATTCAGATTCAAAACCCTAAACCTGCAACCTCGAAAACGCAACAACAGCGATCAAAACGACAACAACAATAACCATGAACGACGTTCAAGTGTGGACCAACGCCGCATTCGACGACCGCGGCGGCGACACCTTCTTTCCGATGAAGACTTCTTGGTCTTCCTCCGACTGCAGCAAAGAAAACGTGAGCCCTAGCGCACTGAATTCCTCCCCGAAATCCAAGAAACACACCAAGACCAAGGGTTTCGCTCTCTCTTCCGACGACAATAGAAACATCGACGACGAGATCGAAGCGCTCGAGCGCGAAATCACGCGCCTCACCACGCGTCTCGACGCGCTTCGCCTCGAGAAGGCCAAGCGCGGAAAGCGCGTGGTGGGCAGAGCCGTTCCCGCGAAGTTCATGGAGCCGCGCCCAAACGCCGCCGTTTTGAGAAAACCCGAAGAAACACCGAAGACTAAGGTAAAGAGTAGTATTAATAATTGCAGCGCGTGGCGGCGAGGGATGAGTATGGGACCAGCTGAGATCGCGGCGACGCCGGCAACCGTGCAGAATCGCCGGAAATCGTGCTTCTGGAAGCTACCGGAGATCGACGAGGAAACGAGGGCGAAGACCGTTGGGAGAGTGAAGAAGAAAGAGGAAAGTTCGGTGGTTCAGGTTCAGGCGAGGAAGATGTTTGAGAGGGAGAAGGTGAAATCGCTGTGTGAGAGTAACAAGAAGGCGGTGAAGCCAGGGAGGATGGTGGCGAGTAGGTATAATGGTGGTGGTGATGTGAGGAAGAGGTCGTTGCCTGATGGAGGGAGTGAGGTTAGGGTTAAGAAGAGGTGGGAGATTCCCAAGAATGAGGAGGAAGAAGAGGCTGTGGTGGCTGCGGTGGTGGTGCTACCGAAGATTAAGACTGTTAAGCGTGTTAATGAAAGTCCCAGAGACTCTGGTGCTGCGAAGAGAGTTGCTCAATTGGTTGGGAAGAGGTCCTATTTCAGCACTGACGAGAATGACGTCTGTCAAATTCTAGATTTTGCAGAAGAAGAAGAGGGGTTGAATTGATCAATGATTCAAGGTTTTATACATAACTGATGACAATGATGATCGGTAGATTCTAAATTTTGCAGATGAAGAAGGGGAATGGATTAATCAATGATCGAAGGTTTTAAGTTGCAATCACATATTCAAATTATTATGAGCCAGTTAGGTACCGGCTCACAATAGAGTTGTGGTATAGTATAGAATGGTAATGGCTCTTTTTCTTTTTTACCTGGTATAGATGGAACTTCCTAAGTTCTGATTGAATTTTGTGAGCTGAACCACGAGGTGGAAGTGCTTTGGTTGGTTTAGACTTGCTTTTTCATATGTTGCTAAATAAATGGAGTAGACATGTATGGTTTTTCAAGTTACATGTTATCATTGTTTGAGTCCTGTGATATGGTTGAAGGAGTGTCTGATTGTGTAGTTTGTTTGATTTCGTTGTGGGAGGCAGGTTGCTATCTTCTTTCTTAGAAGATTGTTTTTGGGTTTTTTAAACTTGGGGTGTGTGTGATTGTGTAGTTTTGTTTTTTGTTCTGTTTTTTTTTTGTAATTGGGTGAGTGGATTGTATCATTTTGAAGGCTAGAGTCCAGTGCAGGAGGAAATCGGGTGTGTGTTTTGATTAGGATACAAAGAAAAGCAGTCATACATGTTAACTTTACCTGTTTCATGTTTAGGAGATGTAAAGGCATCTCTTTTTCTGCAAAAATAAGGGGCTAAAGGCAGAAATGTCCTTCTCGAATGATTAGATAGAGATTAATATTCAAATGCTAAATCTTGCACCGAGTGTGATTCTTGGAACTGTACCAGTTTACCTTAAGAAAGCACTTTTGCTGATATAATTGCAAACTGGTTGCTGCCTGTTGCATTGCAGGATATATCACTATTGACCATGTATTGGTGAGCCAGACACAGTTGTTGAAGCTTTGAGCATAAAGTGTTCGAATTCATGCTAATCCATTACCTTTTTTTCTCCATTTTCTGTTCATAATTTCTTTCGGACATTGGACATTTTAGAATCTATGACCAAGAACACCTTTGAGCTAAGCGAGGCAAAAATACCATATAGGGTCAAAAATACCATATAGGGTCAAAAATACCCATCTTTCACGGGAATGGGTTATTTTTCATAAAATTATTTACTTCTATCAAGTAGTAACGAAATCGTGTTACCTGACTAAAATTGTGTATGTGACACAATTCTAAGGTAGGTTGATTTTTTTTCCAAAAGAACATTAACCAAGCAAATATATTATAAAATAAGTAAATAATTTATATATAATTTTTTACAATATATAAGTATATATAACTTTAAATTCTAAAATTTAACAATATATAATAAATTTATTATTAAATTAAATTAAATTGTACTTATTCCAAAATTTAAATTTTTATATATAGTATAAATTTAAATATTGTATAAAATATATGTAATTATTTATTTTAAACAAATATATAATATATGTTAAGAAAAATATACAAAATTTAAATATTAACTTTACATTTATTAAAATAAAATAAAACGTAAAATCTCTAGATTTTATAAATTTGTTGTTTATACGTCATTGTCTTTGTCTCATTTCGATTAATTTTTTTTTAGTTATTTATAATTAGTTGATTTATTTCATTTTAAATACTACTAGTCGTACTAGTTTTTCTATATTTTTTCAATTGCATGTTTTTATTAAAAACAAGAATGATTATATAGGAATAGATTAATATTCTTCATTTCAAACTAGATTAAAATTAAAATTTATAAATTTTATAATTATTCTTGACTTGCATACAGAAATGAAAAAATCTGATGAAAGTATAAATAAATAATAATAGTATGCCAACAAATAAAAGTCATTGAAGTTTTCTATAATCATATTATTACTGATTTAATTTAACTGTTTAACCGGTTAATCTTTGATAAATAGGTCATGAATATCAAACTCAAAAGTTTCTTAATTATATTTTTTAAATCAATAATAAAAAAAATCAATATATATTACTTATTCTTTTCAATTTATAATTTTCTTATAATTAATTTAAATTCCAATATTTTTTAATTTTCAATAACTAAATTATCGATCTATATTTAAATTATTCATTCAAAATAAAAAAATTAATTTATATATTTTAAATAATTATTCATTATAAATTATAATTATAGGATATAACTTATTTATTAACATTATATCTATTTATTATTAATCAACATGATGTGAAAATAATTTATTTAATATATATATATATATATATATATATATATATATATATATATATACTTCATTTTTTTCTCTTTAAAAATCTGTATATTTTTTAGTCATATTTTTATTAAAAAAAAAGCCCGAATACATGCACTTCTTATAATATTTTAAATAGAAAATAAAGAAATTTGTTATGGGCTTTAACCTACTTGAAGAGTCCAGACACAGGACCCAAGTATCGTTTGGGCCGGGTCAAAAGTTTCAATAAAACCCTAATTCCTGAGTCCCCTATTTTTTGGTGTTGAGAGATACTCTGATAGATAGAGAGCGTGCTAAAACCTACGTCGCCTTTCTTCTCTCTCTGTGTTTGTGCAACAACCACAACCAGAAGCCGCCATGGCCACTGCGAGAACTGTGAAGGACGTTTCTCCCCACGAGTTCGTCAAAGCTTACTCTTCTCACCTTAAGCGATCTGGCAAGGTCACTACTTATCTTCTTTATCCATTAAAAACGAGTCTCAAGTTTGAGATTATTAGTTTAATGCTAAGCCCTTTTTGTCGTTTTGATTGTTTTATGTTGTGCAATGCTTTTGATTGGTTTTATTCTCATGTTGTGTTCCGGGAATATAGTTAATTTCTTCTGTTATATTTTACGTTGGTTTTGTATGTGGTCACGCCCATGTGTTTGTGTTGATGTTTTTGTTTAAAGTAGTGAGTTTTGAATTGGTTTGTTTTGAAGTTTGCAACTTTATCTACTTTGGTGGTTTGTGTACGTGATTCAGAAGGAAGCATTTTGTTATCATTTGGGCCTGGTTTCCATCTTTTACTAGTGTATTGACCTAGATCTCGAAAGATCTTTCATTTGGTCGTGGTTTTGTTTGTTGTAAACAAGTTCTTTGTGTTTTGGATAGTTTTAATTGGGACATAGTTTTCTGAATAATGCGGTACTGTTGGAATTTTTTATTGGTTATCTTCATGATGTGGGTGGAATTTCAGCAATGTCTTTTACAATAACCTGTTATGGATATGTTGAGTTCATTTTTTTTTATTGGTTCTAAGCAGATGGAACTACCTGAGTGGACTGATATTGTGAAAACAGCAAGATTTAAGGAGTTGGCACCCTATGATCCTGACTGGTACTATGTGAGAGCTGGTAAGTTTATTTTTTCTTTCTGTTTTGTGTTTTCCTAATGCATTTTCCTGGTTACTTGTCCAATTTTTGTCTGAATGTGTGAAATAGTGGGTCTAAATAAGTGAGGAGTGTTTAATGCGGTTTGTTGTTGAAAAATTGCAATGAAATTTTGGTGATTTGTGTATAATTAAAACTTCGAAAATTTTCAGCTTCCATGGCAAGAAAGATCTATTTGAGAGGAGGACTTGGTGTTGGTGCATTTCAGAGGATTTATGGTGGGAGCCAGAGGAATGGTAGTCGCCCTCCTCATTTCTGCAAAAGCAGTGGCGCCATTGCTCGTCACATTCTTCAGCAGTTGCAAACCATGAACATCATTGAACCGGACACCAAGGGGTAAACTCTCCTCTAGTTTTTTTGCCTCCTACAGTTTATATAGCTATTGTAAAACGTTGAGGATCATAGCTGTAGATGAATTAAAATGTATTTATGCCATTGCTTATCCTCTGCAATTTTACTGAGTTGTGTTGCATAGCTTATCTCTGGCAATTATTGGTGCTATTTTTGTTTATTCTTTCTGCATCAAAATGTGAGCATTATCATTCTTTGTGATAACTCTTTAACATTGATCCAACCTGTCTCAGTGGCAGGAGAATCACTTCCAGTGGCAGGCGGGATCTTGACCAAGTGGCCGGACGGATTGTGGTTGCACCTTGATCTGTAAACTGCCATATGCATATTGAGAGTTTGGTTTTTTGTTAGAGAGATTATGCGCAAATTTTGATTTTAGACTGTGTCTTTCTATTTATTGGACGAGCTTAATGTTTATGATGCTGTTGCTTTCAGTCTTTTATTAGATCATTTTGCCACATTTAATTTGAGTCTTCTTTTTTCTTCTGCTTTTTCATCCTGGACATTCTTGTTCTGTACGTGTTTTACTCATGAAACAAAAATTAAAGCTAAATTAAATTAGATTAGATAGTATTATTCTTTTTTTATGATTTTCAGAATTTTATAGTGTATCTGTGCATTTTCCATTATGATTTAATTTAATTGAGGTAGCACTGGGCACTGATCTCATTTTCATCTGATAAGGATAAAATCAATTATACCAAATTGCAAGTAGCTGTTTATGTATAGTGTTTCTTATTATCAAATTGTAAATCATTCACAAATTATTCATAATTATATTAAATTAATTTAATATAATTGTAATTATTATAAAGTTTCTATATCGTAGAAAATGTAAGTTATTTTATACTTAAAAATGTTATTTTATATTTACATGTAGACTGCACAATATTTATTGTCATCCATTTTGAAGGTTAATAAAATCTTACCTTTACGATTTAATCTATAAAAGATTTTTTTTTAATCTTTTTAAAGTGTAAGAATTAATTTTTTAATGTTTTTTTCATTGATTACAATCTTTATTATCAATTTTTTATAAGATTTTTAACCTGCTTGTAAAAGATTGGGAAAATTTATATCTTATATTTTATTATTAATGTTATACTTAGTATATGTTTGCCTTTAAATATAGATATAAGAAAAGCAGATAAATGTAGTGAAAGTTAAAACGTATGCTGTATTAAATTTTAAGATGCAGAAGAAGTCAACTCGTGACAATTAGAAAAGAAAGGTAATGAAAAACAAAAGACAACTCATCACTGAAACTTTGGTATATTACAGTAAGTGCATATCAACTTATTTGACTTAATTTTAAAGAGTGAAAGATTAAGAATTGAGGAGAAGATTCGGTATGATATATATGGTTTGAATTAAAGAGGAACATTAATTATTATAATTTAAATGAAAGGTGTTAGATTTGAATAAAAATAAAAATAAAAATGTTCCTGTCTTTGTTAGTATATAAAAGAATAGTTAAATAAATATATTTTTAATATAATAATAATGATAAATATTTATATTTAATACAATTAAAATATTTTTTATTTTTTTACTATTTTATTAAGTTTTAATAATCATTATTAAATAATTACTCTATTTCATGATGATTAAGTATATTATAATGTTTATATTTTTAATTATAAAAAAAATTGATTTCATGAAAGATTATGATTAATAATTAATATTTGTTATTATCATTTAACAAATATTGTTGGATAATATTTAAATTTACATCAACATATAATATTTTTGAATTTATTTTTAAAACTTTTTTTTTCAAAACCATTTTATATTGATTTTTATGATTTTATACCAATTTTTTTTTCAAACTGATTTTATAATTTTTACACCAATTGTTATTATTATTTTCTTACCTCCAAAACATCTGAAAATAAATTCGTCATCAATTATTCTGAAGAACATAATTTGTCTTGGTTCACCATAATTTAAAGAATTTTCTATACAGAAGTTATCATTAATGTTACTACTGTAAAATTTATTATTGATATTTGTGATATTAACTCTATGAGTTCATTTTATTTTGTCTTACATATGAATATATAATATGTTCACAAGTTATTTTAGAAACAAATTACTGTAATAAGTATTCTACTAAAAAAAGAAAATCAAAATTTAAAATTGAACTACCCTATAATGTTTGGTTGACTGTGGACCTTCGTTAATCTAACAAGTAAATCTGAGTCATTTGTTACAGCCAAAGTTCTCCAGAAACACTCTTATAAGACAAAAAAAAAAAAAAATCATTTCTAAATAAGCTTAATAGTAAGAACTATTTACATTTATGAAACAACTAATTTATGGAAGAACTACAGTCAAACTTTTCAGAAATCTCATTTAACTCATGTACTAACTAATTTTAATTTATGAAAAAACTAATATATTTCTTTTATATTTTCTTTTTGTATAATAACTACTTATAGTGAAACTTATTCAAACAGTCTAAGAATGCCTTTCTCACATTCAAAATCCTAGGTACTTGCTTCTTCCAACTAATACATAATCAATTGAATAGCTGCAGGAAGAAGGTCTAATTTGATTATGTTCGTTGCAGAAGATTATCATATCAGATTAGTCTGATGTACAAGACATTAGGATGTAGGAAAATATCAATTTATTTATCTATATAAATTAGATAGTAGAATCCTTAGTCATGCATTCACTTAATTTCAAAAACAGGTTTCAGTGCTTTTCATACTGGAAGCACTACTTTCAGCAACAGCACTTGGATGACAGAAACAGAAAGTTGTACCAAGGCAAAATTCAGTCAGTGCCTAAAGTGCCTCACATTTGTAAAGAGTAGTGAAACACCATACTTGTTGCAACAGTCTATGGCATCCTGGTCCCTGATACTCCCACCCGGTTCTGCAATTACACCAATTCCACTTTCACATGCTTCTTCTACAGCATCTTTCCAAGCTGTTCACAATTTAAGATGCATCCATTAAAAAGAATTATTGTAAAGAAAGGCAGTCCCATTTGATTTTATGGAGATCTACATTGATTAAAGATATGATCAAATTATAGTATATAAGTGATAAACAAACCTTGTAGACTTAAGTTAGCCCTATATCCATTTTCTAATAGTTCCAATGGATTCAATTGCATAAAGATGAAAAAAAAAAGATGCCAAGGGACTGCAATAAGCAACCTCCAACCTGGCAAAGGTCACCAACTTCTCCCTGAAGTTCTCTTTCCCTCTCCACGCCTCTTAAGGCACAACTACATTGTCCATATAACTGTTAAGCTTTCTAACTGTTAGAAATCTCTCCATTTCCACACTAACAGCTCTATATTTTGTTATGCTTGAATATTCTTTTCTGTCCGTAATTTAACCCTTATTTCTCTCAGTATAGACTTTAGGTTCAGTGCCTAAGAATGTCTTTGTGACGATTGTCTTCTAAGAATGTATGCATCAGAAAAAATTATAATCCACCACTAAATGTGTTCTTTATAACAAGGCAAACGCAATGAATTCCTGTATTACAAATATTTTATATTACAAATATTTTATATGACAATAACACTTACCAAATGGGAAGAAGGCATCACTGGCTAAGGCTGCCCCTTTAACATCATCTCCAGCTTTCCTCAATGCTATTCTCAAACTCTCTACACGGTTTGGTTGCCCACTTCCCATGCCTAACATACAATTGTTCTGCAAAAGATTATAACAAAGGGGGTCAGTTCCTAAAATTTATGACATTGAGGCAGAGAAAAGTTTCATGATGAGATTACAACCTTAGCTATCACAATAGCATTGCTTTTGACATGCTTCACACATAACCATGCAAACTCTGCATCACGAAGCTCATCATCTTGTGGCGCCTTTCCAGAGACTACGTTAAACTTGATATCTTGTGGGGTTAAGTCATCTGAATCCTGAGCTAACCAACCCCCACCAACCTGCCTGAGTGAAAGCTTTCCTGCTTCATTCTTTTTCGCTTCAAGAATCCTTAGAGTCTTGGACTTTCCACGAAGAATCTCAAGTCCCTTCTCTGTATAGCTGGGCGCAACTACTATTTCATAAAACATCCTTGTCTCACCGTCTGTGGGGCTTCTAAATTCTCGAATTTCTTTAGCAAGTTCCTAAAATTTATAAATATATTAAAGACATTAATTTTATATCACTGTTCCTCCCATTTGCCAAGATGGGATCTTCAGAAGTAAGAGAGAGAAGCTGATTCTATCTTCATTCACAAGACAAATTGAAACATGACCGATGTCTAGGCTTAAAACGTGAAACCACGGACTTGGTCACCTTGCATCATTTGAAAAGAAGAAAAAGTATATTTGAATTCAGACAATATTTACCTCATCAATTTCCACGTTGAAGGCTACAATTCCACCAAATGCACTCACGGGATCAGCTTTAACAGCAAGTCTGTACGCTTCAAGAATATCATCTCGTGATGCTACCCCACATGGATTGGTATGCTTCACTACCACACAGGTGGGGTTCTTAAACTCACAGACACAGTTCCAAGCAGCATCAGCATCCAAGTAGTTATTATAGGACATCTCCTGCATGATAGAGTCAAGGTTGTAATGTTAGGGAAAGAACATGAAGATTTATAGAAATTGTACAATTTTCCAATCAAAAGCTCTTAAAATATATGAAATGCATTTAGCAGCAAATTTAGATGATTAGATGAAAGAAATTAGTAGGCTGACTCCCACCTTTCCATGGTGTTGGATGGCTGTAGCAATTCCACCAGCATTAACCTCAGAAAGTTTTTTGTCGACATAGAACGCAGCTTTTTGATGGGGATTTTCACCATAACGGAGAGAACTTTTGAGAGAAAGTGGCACTGTTAAGCTAGGAGGAAATTTATCTGTCATTAAAATAAGAATAAGTAAATCTATTGAGAACATAAAAACTAACAATAGCACTAGAAATATTTAAATTAAATATATATTCCGAATACCATAATGTACGTCGCATAACAATATACAAAAGTTATTTTCAGAGGAAATCATACGATTCCAAATTTGTCACTGATGTCACAAACTTCTAGGATTATTATTTATAATAATATATAATCATCTTCCTATAATCGACATTTCCATCTCACAAGTAAATGAGACAAACTTGAAACAAAAGTACCTCCCACACTCTGCTTCCACAACCACTCAGATACTGCAGAGTCATAGGAAGCAACATGTTGAAACGCTTTCCATGCAAGCTTTAGCCTGAACTTTAGATCGTCTTGTTTTCCTTTAAGATATTCCAGAAGGGCAGGGTAATCTTCTGTATCAACCACTACCAAAACATCCTTGTGATTCTGCTCAGATAATAATTTATCACCAGATATTCAAAATATTTCAATAGAAAAACAAAAAAATTCAGATCAGAGACAGAATGCAATGAACAGGGTTCTTCTACTTTCCACAAATGTCATTAAGTGGTATATGGACAGCAGGATATTTTCTGAACCATTTTGCAAAGCCTTTTAAATTTTAATGACAAGATAAAGATTTATGAATGGTGTCAAGAGATCAAATTTAATGGCATTTTCAGTCAAGCAAACCACCTTTGCAGCAGCTCTAATCATGGCCGGACCACCAATGTCAATATTTTCAATTCCATCTTCAAATTCAATGCCTCCAGCTGATGTGACTTTATCGTAAAATGGGTACAAGTTCACCACCACGACATCAAAAGTACCTACAGGGGGAAATTTTAAGGAAAAACAAATACAATCTCACAAACTAAATGAGCACAATCTAAATTGAACAGAAAACTAGTAACATGCACTTGTTGTAATAACATTTGATGACATCACTTACCAATTCCATGAGTATTGAGCGCTTCGATATGATGATTTAGGTCCCTTCTAGCAAGGATACCCCCATGTATGTTAGGGTGCAAAGTTTTGACACGACCATCAAGCTGTGAAAAAAAAAAAACAAATCATTCTTGTTATAAGCTTGCGCATGTTTAAACAAACTTCAAAGAAATTAGTGAACATTATGCTAGAAAGTCAACATTGAAAGTGAACCCAGGCACAATGGTAAAAAATTGTAGCTTGGGGAATGGTTGGCCATGAGTTTGAATCCTAAATTTATAATATACTCATTCTGTTCTGAGGGTGTCAACATTTATAAGATTACCAAAGCAAGCAGATTAGCAATCAGAAGTTCCAGCACTAGAATTGTTCATGAGATTTCAGAAAGGAAAACTCAAGCATGATGCGCACGCACCATTTCAGGAAACTGAGTAAGCTGTTCAACTTTAGTAACAGCTACCCCGGCCCTCTCCAGTGCAGAAGCTGTTCCTCCAGTTGAAACAATAGTGTATCTACAATTTTACAGAGGAACTGTCAACAATTCACTATAGCAACTGAAGCTTCTTGAGATGCAATAAACCACATCAAAAAAGCACGTATGACTAAATTTTATCAAAAATCTAAAGGAATATAAGAAACAATAGTATTCTAACATTAAAAAAGGAACTCGTTAATTGTAATAATTTATTTACCCTAATTCCTGGAGCCCATTGCCAACAAACGCAAGATCCTTCTTATCTGACAATGATATCAAGGCTTGCTTGCTCCCTGTTTCACAGCAAAACACCATATGCCAGAAATAGTTTTTCTTACATTTTAAAATTATATAAAATGTCACCAAAGGGTAAAACATGGGTGGGTATATGTTGACACCTAATAATTAAGGTAAAAATGGTATTGTCTAAACTGAAATCACAAAGAATAAATACAAATTCACTCTAGAATTGTGGCTGGTGGTCTAGGATTGTTGCTTCTTTTGTTTGTTTCCTGCGGGTGTATATCTTAGTTATAGGTGGTTTATTCTTATCAAACAGATGGACCGAAAGTTATTCTAATAATTTTCATGGTGCAAATCATCAAATTAATATAATAAATTTGACTAATTTGTATCTTAAATGCGGAGGGTCTATTATTGAATGCCAACATATGAGACACAACTGCTGCAGTTGTGTTTAATATAGTAAAGGCCGGAATTTGTTAAGGTAGTTGATTTGATATCCCAACTGTGACAGGTATTTCAATAGTTTTCAGTGTTTGCTGTATTAAAATCCTTTTCGTGCTCATGAAGTGCAACAAATAAGCTTGGTTGGAGATTTTGACAATGCTGATCTTCTAAATCATGCTTGTAGCAGCTCTGACAACTGTTATACTTAAGTGGAGTCTAGAATATGTGAACTATTCAATAATGCAAAAAATAATATTCTAAATCATACATGATTGTCCCAGAAGCAGTTATCATTTATGCAATGGTGTCCTGTACTCAGACTTAAAAGTGATCCTCAGCAGTCAAAAGGAGCAGCATTTGAAGATAGCTCTCTAAATGCCAATTGAAGACACAAACAAAAGTAGAAAAACGAATTGTTGCTGATGCATTACCAACAAACTCGTAATACTAGATATAAACAAGGAGAAAATAGAGTTTAGTAGCATATCGGTCATAATTGGCAGCGTACGATTACTTTTAAATATTGAAATTTACATCCTTCTGACTCATTAGTCGGGCAGAACAATAGCAAAAAAATAAAAACTAAAAGCTAAAGACCAGGATCACTTCTTCACGCCAGTTTATAGAGAAATGAAGACTCTAAGTACAATTAAGCCATAAACATTTAATAAATTGAAGTACTTAATGCGAGGGGAGTCTTTGTGCATGTTTGTAATAATAAATCGGATACACGTATAACCATAAATTCACGTAAAAAATCATCAGCAAAACATCCACCCAGAATTAATGATTCTTGGTACTACTCCAGGAAATAATGAATAGCTTATATGTGAAAGAAAAAGGACGAGCAACATTAGTAAGCCCAAAAACTCCAGGAAATAGTTATTTTGTTACCCTTTGGCTTTGGGGATGAAAACAATTGAAACCCCTCAACAAAACAATTGAAAACACAAAGAAAAGAAAAGAGGTAGTGAGAACGAAAAGTACCAGGAGCAGAGGAAGAAGAAGCAATTTTTGAAGCCGCTATAGTCTCAATCTCAGCCATGGCTTTGATGGGAACACCCGTGAAGTGCAGTGAAGATGAGCGCACCTGAACGTGCCCGTTTGAGAACCAATACCATTGAACAGCAACAACGTCGGATATAAGCAGATAAACAATAAAATAAAAAGCAGTAGCATAACATTAAACAAAAAATGAAGACAGTGAAAGCAGAAGAAGAATACCGAAGTTGTGGATAAGAGATGGGAAGAGAATTTATGGGGGGTTGTGAGGGAATAAGGAGAGTGAAGAGTTCCACTGAGAATGCGTGAGGAGGAGGTGGCGGCGGTAGAGGCTGCGGCGGAGGAAGCACCCAACATTAACATCCTCTGAGTTAAAGAGTGACACAACCGAGAAGTTATGTTAACAAAGCTTTTGACTTAGGTTTTGATTGATTCTCTGATTCTTGTCCTTTTCATCAAACAGGTTGTATTGCTTTGCAGTGTTCAATGGCCACGTCTCATATGAAACCCACCTCTTCGAAAAACCCAATGATGCTACGCGTTGCCTATTTTTGTGTTTCTTGTTCGATTTTGATCTTTTCAATTTTATATAAGTAATTATTTGTTATGTTAATTAATTGAACATATATAATTGGATCAAAATATAGCATACGTAAAATTCAATATTGGTTTTGCTAATTTATAATCATTTTTTTAGGATGACCAAATTAGCAAATTTATATCCAATTATTTAAATGAATAATTAAAAAATATATAACTACAAATTTTAAAAAATATATCCAAGATGTAATATTCTACCTTATTCTTACTCTTTTTAAATAATAAATGAATGTAACTTAGCAGAACCTTTATTACTATTATTATTATTATATAATTTACTTATTATTGCTACAGTTTTAACGACACTGACATGCATGGAGATCTTATCTTAATTTTACAAAGATAGGTTGAATTAATTAATGTAATTTGACAACATTAATTATTGTTTAAATATTATTTAAAGTGTTTCATTATATTATATACTTAATTAACTACATACGAGAGATATTTAAAAGTAACTTACTTTATTTTCTTTAATTAATATTTTGATTTTCATTCATTAATACCAATTTATGTTTATTATTTAATAGAATAAAATGATAGAAATAATAGATCAAACATATATTTATATGAACAGAACATCATCAGGTCGTAGAAGGATCTAACAATGTCAAACACTCAATGAAACCTTTATTTTCTTCCTCTCTTGTTTTTCATCTTCAATTGCTCTTGGTTCACTTCCTTTGCTAACCTTTATCAGAAATTCATGGAAATGGAACTTTTACTTTTAGTTTTGATTAGACAATACATGTTGTTGTAATAGTTTTAATCCGGTTGAATTGTTGATACTGTAAAATCTACAACAACTTACTGTGAAAATATTTTTATCTTCAAATAATCTTAAATAATCTTGATCCAACCAATATAGTTATTCATTTATTTACAGTCTATCTGAAATAGATTTGAATGTAAGAAACAAACATTTGAATAAAATAAATACTACAAAATATGTAAAAACACCTCAAAACCTTGGAATTGAATAATTACAAGAAATTAACTTTTTGTTGTCTGATTTGGTTTAGACAACGTCTACCAGAATGTTGACTCACACATCTTAACCATACCCAAACATGAAAGATTTCTTTACAGGATCTTCACAAGTGGTGTATGAACCGATGTCCCTTAGTTGATTACTTAGTCCAAACCTTGAAATCTGTACATCTGTTGGTAATTCTTGAAAATAGGAATAGTCAGACTTTTCTTCTTGAGCATAGGAATAGTCAGACTTTTCTTCCATATTTAAGGACTCTGAAAAGTTCGTTGATGGAGTAAGTGGAGGATCATGTATATTGAACTCCATACTTTTGAACATGAGACTTGCAATTATTCTGTCAATATTGTTGGTAGTTGATTCCATTGATTTCTCTTCCTGAGTCCTAAAATAAGGATACTGCTGACTGAATCAAAGTAGACAAGTACAAAACCATGTTCTAATTACAAGGATATTGTTATATAAAATTGTTTCTATCGCTACTGTTTTGAAATTGCAAACAAAACTTTGAACACATTGTCAACTATGAAGCAAAATATACATATAAGCCACAAATTGAAAAAGAAGTATATTATCTTTAGTACATTACTGATCTTCTACTGGAAATAATGTGAATGAAAAAACAATATGATGTCCAACTTATTATCATGATTGATGCTGAAAACTTGAAATAGTGTAATACAAGTTTACTGTTTCTGTAGATATAACTAAGATTTTGGCCTAATCACACCAAGTTATCCATCCTGTCACCCATAACATCAAATGTTTGTCCAAAAAAAAAAAACACTATTTATTTTCAGTTCTAGAGATGTTCATTAGTTACATAAAATTGTATTTAACATACTTAGACATATATGTACTATTTTGTCATAAATAATTTTTTTCATGCTTAAGAGTACACAACAGACAACAAATTTTAATCATGTACCTCTTCTTTATTTCATTGTGATCTGTACGTGGCATTGTCTTTTGGAGGCTAAAATCTTGATTCTGGTCCAGCATTTCATTAAGTTGTTCTGTATTTCTGGCAAGACGATACAGGGCATCTCGGAAGCAAAGTCGGGTCTTCTCCGTGAACTTATAAAGTGAATAATGTGTAACAATAAGAATTATGGAAAAATGTTTTATTGCTTGTTAATCAGATGCAATAATTTGAGTTTAGTAGCTTCACCTGTCCAATTACCATCTCAAGATCCTTTAAAATGAATTCCTCAAGTGATGATGACTCATGCATGTCATCATCCTTGCTGCATTGCTCAAATGGGTCTAAAACCTTGGCTGGTGATGCCTTATAGAAAAATAAATAAATTACATTACTCTATGAGAAAGCAGATGATTTATTTGGGACAAAAGATATCCTTAATGTTTATTCTATGTGGTGAAGATTAAATTAGTAAACTGAAAGGCACAAGAGGGTTTACACAATTTTAATAAATTCTGCAACAAGTTTCTTGAAGGTCTCTTAGATATGATAATTGTTTTATATTCTACTTGTATGCTGGCTTATATGTGACAATTAAAGATATTGAAACCTATATTTCTGATTTTTAGTTTAAAACATGTGTGTACACAACATGCTGATGACTGCTCATGCCAAATCATAATTTTATCTTCCAAGCCAAATGAAAAATGTCATAGATTGGTAGACAAAAAGCAATTCTCACCTCCCTATCTGGACAATCCTTTGAAGCTGAGTTGCTTGAAACATACTTAGAATCTGTGGTATTTTTCTGCAGTGTATCTGATGATAACAAGACATGCATTTTGAGACATTCTATGCTTGCAAATCATAAATAATGCTCAAAATATTTGTTTAGAATAGATTAATGTCTAAGAAAGAATGGTTACCAGGTGTACTGCTGCTTTGTTTTATAGGTGAAATGATGACTTTATCTAGGTTTTCAACATCAACACATGACAGATCTTCCCGTACAGAATTCCTGAGACAAAAGTATACTAACTTAACATCAGAAGACATTCTGCTCTATTGAAATAATTAGATATCATAGTAAACCAGTGAAGATTGAATGACTCAGAATGCAACATGAAAAACATATGCTTTGCATGTCATCAAAGAAAATTGGTGACTCCGTGATACAGGTAAACAGCTAATGTGATTTTTTTGTTCTGTGTACATCAAGAAATATCACTGAGCACTTAATTTGCACTGAATTTCCTATAGTTGAGTGTGTACTTCTGAAAGTTAATTTACTTCAGAAGCTACATAATTATCCTAAAAAAAATCAAGTATCTCATTCCCAGAGGAGGTTAAGTTTGTACAAGAAAGAGTCATTCATCTGTTCGAATCTGGGTAGATCTTGAAGCTGGTAATTAGGCTGATCGCATGAAAGTGCTGTCTGTTGAAAAGATTGCTCAGGCAATCTTCCACATACACTTGAACGGCTAAACTGATCTTTATCATGCAGAGATGGTTCAAGCTCAATTTGATTATTGAATTTTTCTTCAAAGAAATCCATGATAAAAAATTGTTTAGGTGAAGTAGAACCTTCAGCTGCACTTATTTCCCAGTTTGACCAATAGTCTGGTGAAGGATGTATGTCCAATAAATCCTGATCTCTGGGTATAAGATAATCATTCACGTCACTCCCAAAGTACCAATCCATGATCTAGAGTCTGCATAAAACGACATAACACCAATCCATCATCTAGAGTCTGCATAAAGTGCCATAAATGCATAATTTATTATTGTACATACATCAACACTATTTGATTACTATTGAAAGGAGTATTTCAACATGTTACTATCTTCTTTTATATGATATGAACATCAAAGTGTCGTAAGGGGCAAAAAGCAACAACATCCAATGTCAATATCCTATGAGAGAAATCTATAATAAAACTTGAAACAAAAAAACAAAATCAGGCAAAGAGAAAGTTTACTTAACAGTGTAAACATGAGAAGTATGCAGATCAGTATTTTCTCCCCTTTTTTCTTTTCTGTCTCACTTTCACTTTCAAGGTCCTTGAAAGTTCCATTTCAATCCCCTTTCCTAATTTCTTCTTGATACATCAGTTATATATATTCTATATTTTCAAAATTAAATACAAAAGTAAGGAGAAGAAGAAAGAAGGACATTACATCAAACAAGAAAAGGACATGAACCGCATCATAACAAAAAACCGACTCAACAATACATAAGACTTTCATACGCATTAAACCACAGATTCATAAAAGCTACAAAATTCACAAATAAATAGTCATCATGATCCAAAATACTAACTTTTGAAAAGAGTGAAAAGAGAATAATACCCTATTGAGAAAACCCCGTTTGCACTTGATGAAAACAAATTGGAGAATATGGTGACATCCAAAATGAACACAACTTGAAATTGGGTTGAGAACAATTAATTAATGATCAGAGGAGAGTCTAATAAGAAAGGGTGCAAACCATGCTAAGAGAAAGTGAGGGAAGGGTTTGTTGTACCAGAGACTAATGAAGCAACAGATGGTGTAAATAAAAAGGCAAAGGAGAAGAAACATAAGACACGTTATGAGTTTGTGGCTGAGAATCTTCTGGTCCCAAAAATTTGTGGCTTAAAATGCTCCATCAAAAGCTGCACCCTCATTGGTACATGTGTCAGTACGAGGTTTTGTTTTAAGATTTCGTGCTTCTTGGTGATCGCAGCATGTGGCATCTGATGCCACCAAGATGGAAACCATGTGCATTGCCTACTATTTTGCTTGTCTTAGGCCCGTGTATTGACCATTACTTACTTCGCATTAATTATCATATTTTAAATTTAAATTATACAAGTTCATTTCAAATCTTGATAAGAAATTTTTAAATAAATATTTGTATTTCATATAAGATTTTCATTATATTTAAATAATGGATTATTTTTAGAAATATCCTTAATTAAATATTTGAAATGAAACACATATAATTTAATATTACTTAAAAGCTTAATATTTCATTTAAAAAATTAATAAAAAAATCTTATTATGTGTGATTAAATAATTATTAAGTCATACATCGTAATATGATTGATAGTATAATATTTTTATAATTTTACATATTCTACTTAAATTTTTTTATTTGACCGTTAATTTTAAAAAAATCAATTTAAAATATTTATTTATTTTCTATTTTTCTATTCTAATCAAATTATTACTATAATAAACATTTATGGATATTGTTGAAATGTTGTTTAATAAATATTTCAATGTATTTGATATGAAATTTGCATGCACTTTAGAGGTTCAGAAACTATTTTTTATTATAAAAACTAGTTTTAAACCATTTTTGATATAGAAACATTTATGTATTTGATATAAAAACTATTTTTTTGTTTATAATATTTTATATTATTAAATTATATGCTCTTTTTTATTTATTATCATTATTTGATTAAATAAATATAGTTTAACAATTATTTAACCATTAAATTTTAAACCAATTTCCTTATCCATTCATACTAGTGTTTAAAATTATTTACTTCTTAAGCATTTTATTATCTTATCTGTTGAGAGAGTGATTTGTTATATTAAATACACATTTTTATTTATTATATCGGTATTTCAATAAAATAAATTAAAGACATCAAAAATCAATAATATATGCATTTAAATTACTTTTTTTTTATAATAAGAACATGAAAAAAAAAGAATACTATGTTGTTTCTAAATTTCTGGACAGGTAAAAGTTAAATTTAGTATAAAAAACAATTTAAGGTAATTTTTTTTATGAAAAATATACTTGAGTTAAAAAAATTATAATAGTAAATATATATATATATATATATATATTTATTTATTAATTTCTATAAGCACAAATTCATCCTTTTAATATAATATTAACACTAAATTTATGAATTAATTAACATGTGTATTAACTAATAGATTTAAATAATTAAAATTATTCATAGATATATAAAATTATATTAACTAACCTTTGAAGATAACTCATGCAATTTATTGGTGAGAGAGCATGAAACTTGGGGCAATTGGGAGGGTAAAGTTTGTAAAAATTATTGATAAATATATAACGTTGATTTATAGAATAATTTTGCATGAATTTTGCATTAGCTCATAGAAATTTTGTGAGGAAAAATATAAAAAATAAACAATTCACGTGATAAATATTTCAATGATTTTTATTTAAAAAATGGCAGAATGTCTGAATTACATTATTTGTTATGTGAACAATAATTTTAGAATAAAAATTTATTATATGTAAATTTGAAAAGTTAATATTCTTGTACTGGAAACCTATTCAATCAACAATAGATTCTCTTCCTGATTTTAGAACAAAAATAGTAATACATCAAATCGGTCAAACTGATGAAAATTTGAATCAACAACAAAATTAATAAAATTATATAATTAAATTTTAAAAAATAAAACACAACCTAAAATTATTATTATTATTAAATAGAGAGGTATGTTACTAAAATTTTAATTCAAATACTATTTGAATAATACTATTTAATGTAAATATTAAATTAAAAATCAAAATAAACTAAAATGAATTAAGTACTAATAAACATAAATTATATAATTTATTATAAATTATAAACAATATAAACAAGATAAATTAAAATTATAAATATAACAACAATCATATAACACATTCATAACATATATTTATATTTGATAATTGTGTATTGTAAAATATTCAACAATTTTGTTACAAGAAAATATTTTACTATTTGTTTAATTATATAACAACTTTATAATAACAAAAATCACAACATTCATATTATTATTTAATAAAAAATTAAACCAAATCAGAGTCCAGCTAATTTGAATAATGTGGGTGCAAATTTTGAGAATGATGTTACATAAGAAAACTAATTAAGCATGTACCTTCTTTTGTGTATATGTAAAATCCTTCTTCAATCAGATAATATATATGACATTAAAAACCTTTAATTTAGATAAATAATAATAGTATGAATATTAGCTGAAACTATCACAGTATCTCCTACTATCAAATAATTTCTCCATAGTCATACCAGTGTCTCAAATCATAGTATTTCCTCAAAGTAGCTCTGGAACAATTATTTTAACATGTATTTAAGAGGTGTAATTTTAAGATAAAGAATTATAAACACTCCTTCATAAAATGGAAATTAATTGAGATCCCTAACTGTAATAATTTGTCAATGTTTTCTTGCTCATCTTTTCAACTTCTAACCTCATTCAGATTACTGATCATATTTTGTTTTCAAATATATTTTCAACTAAGGAAACACTTTCTTACATAGAAAACACAAATAGATGAAGCTTTTGTTCTTGTTCTTAAAGCTACATGAGCGAAATTATTGAAAAAATATTACATAATCCGTATCAAGTTTCCAATGGTTTCTCATCTACATGTCTCTAGGTAAAAAGCCTAGCAAGTCAACCCGTGAGTTCCTCCATTTGGCCCTGTTGATATTTCAGAAAATGGGAAAAATTAGATCGCATTTCAAAATATAATGCTTTCTAAATCTTTAGGTGCAAGACACTTAACCCGTGAGATAAATTGCTCGGCATCAGTTCGCTTCAGAAGGTGCATTGAATGGCAAGCAAAATTTGCAGTCTTATCATCACTAAGCAGAATGCCATCTCCAATGTCATCAAGGACCCGTACTTTGATGTAAGGATCTTTTGGTGGTACCATATCCTATCAAATTCAGATTTTATGAGTGAAAATATAGTACTTTACTGCAAGGTTGTTGAATTGAGATTTAAATCATGAATCGTTGAACTATTTTTTGAATTGGAAATCGTAATTTGTATTGAATTGTAAGATTCAAATACAATGAAAACTCACTTCAAATATATCCTACAGATGAGATGTAGTCTTTGATGTAAACAATTTAAACAGGAAATAGATAAGACAACATAAACCAGGAATCATACAAGCAAAATATTAAGTTAAACATGAGTTTGTGAAGTCTTTTATTTTAGAAGAATAGAAATGAAACAATTATATAGACTACATGCATTGAATGAGTGTAAGTTACATATAAAGGTGGAATAATAAAATAAGTTCATAAGGGTTCTTTCAAATTTATTTTCATTTAAAAATTTAAGCTAGTGTGACTTCAACTTTTTTCATGAAAATTAGTCAAAATTAAAGAACTTTTGAGTCGTCGAACCATATCGATGATCCAAAATTGCATTTAGCTTCATTCATGTATAGTATGTTACAAAGTCATAAGTTTCATTCTGTGATACAAATCGGTAAATAGACAAAATGCATCGATGTGTATGTAAATCGTAAGATTATGATAACTATGTTTTACGGTCAGATTTCAAATTCATTCTGCTACTAGAAACTACAGGAGCTTGGTGTTTTTAACAGTTATCCGGTTACTGACACCTAATATAAATGCAGATCAATAACTCCAAACAACTAAATCTGTTAATTTTCACATTAGATGCATGGTTCTTAAAATCCAAGATTACAATCAATCAGTTTCCCCCCCTATTCATTCTGCAAAAGATCTTTAAGTGCATCCAAACAAGTGTCTGCATGGTAACCATTGCTTATATTAATAGAACAATAAGTAGGTTCATAGAAGTTTCCGACACAAGCATGGAATTAAAACTAGGGATAGTTTTATAGCACAGCGAAAAGAAATTCTTTATAATCAATCATAAGCGCCCCAGGCCGAAATTACTTAACAAGGCATTGATTACTGACAGAACATCTTGGAAACTATGTCCATGCACATGTGTAAATGAACTCTGTAGTTCTCTTGTGCAATCTCTGATGAGTGTATACATGTGCGTATGTGCTCGTGTGTGGGGGAGAATGGAAGGAAATGCGAGAAGGAAAGGGAGAGGTTACCACGGTCAGATCAACCATCACTTTCGACATATAAGATTTCAATGCTGTAGAATGCTTCTTGAAATGTTCTTCCTCCGTGTGACAAAGCTTCTCTTCAATTTCTTGAGGAAGTACATGCCCTATCTTCCATAACAAGTTTCGTATAATTTCTGCTCGATTAAACCTGAAGAGAGACAAGTTACAGAATCTCAGAATGCGGATGAGCCATAGAATGCAGTGTACAAGAACTATATTTGATGGTAAGTAGCATTTCAAAGAGATAATTACACATAGGCCATTAGGCAACGTTTATTTCGGACTAAAGCAAGATGATGGATAAGGGCTCCGTAGTGATCTGCATTTCTGGCCGTTTGGATATCCAAACCTTCTTCCTGTATCTTCCTGTTTACACAGAGCAACACATGCTCAAATGGGATAGGATAATGCAATGAAGAGTGATGTTCAAGGGAAAATATGCATGCGACTTTAGCATCCCTTATTTGACTTGGTAATATGGTTTCATCATTCACAAGCTAGCAGGCAAATGAAATAGAACACTCCAATATGAAAAAGGAGGACACGGAAATAAGAAGCAGGACACCACAATAATTTTACCTGATCAAGGACTGAAGCTCAAGGTGATGTTGACTGCATTCTGCAACAACTTGTTGAAACAAGTCACTCTACAAGATTATTGGAAAAATAATCAACAAAATAAGCATATAACCATAACAGGAAAATGAGTAACAAACCAGACTATGAGAAAAGGTCTAATAGATAAAAAAATAAGAGTAAAGAAAATCAAGGCATGAAATGGCAGTATCATACATAAAAAATACTTCACCATGTAAGGATGGTGATGTCATAAACTGGAACATCATGAACCATGAATCCATGATAGACCAAAATAAGTTCTGACTGCAATTAGGTAGCCTCTCGAGGCCTTTTTTCCGTTCAGAGAGGGGAGATGTATGAAAATGATAGAAATGATTGAGAAATTTAAAGAGGGACCTAAACAGATAACCAGTTAATGAATTTAAGAAAAAGATTTCATATGTGACATAGCTAGCTACTTGAATCCTGACTCAAATTAAAATGATCTTATCAATCCAAACAATTTCAAGTTTTCATACCACAACTTTTAAAGGTTGCCAACTTGCCATAGTAGTAGGCAGAGTTCAATTCAGAGTTGAATGTACCATTGTACACTCGTTAACTTGAACCTTTAAACAGTGAACGATCATATGCAGTATTTAGATCCAGAGAAAAGTAAGATAGATCCAGATACAGCTCCAGTATTGTAGTTGAGGATAAAGGTCGTGGTAAACAAGCAAAGGGAAGATTTAAGGAGAATTCAAGCATCCTCAGTTAGGCTACTGGGACAGATTCTCATAACACAAATTGCCATCATCTCCAAGCATCGGTAACATTGGCTGCCATTAGACACAACTAGAATCCCCAGATGCATAAAACACAAACGAGGTTCACGCAAGCTTTACCAATTTTATTTCAAAACTTAATAAGAAAATCTAACACTTATGCAAGAGTACAGTTTTAGAATTTGGACTTAAGGTTTAATTCAATCTCACAAACTACCTAGTAAGGTAAAAAGCTTTATAAGCTCTATTTATGGTCTGTTATGTACTTCCAGACAACTTTACCCAATATGCCTTTAAACCATGTCTCATAATGAAACTAGACCACCACCTTTGAGGCTGCAATTAAAGCAGCCCACAAAGAGACTCCAACTAAGGCGAACTAGGCGTGTCTGCAATTAAAGCTGCGTTCCAACATACACGCTGATAGTACTATAAATTATTTTTTCCACTATACAAGGCGATTCCAACATAATCCAACAACTGTTGAAAAATAAAAATAAGAACAACTAACTAAACAAGAGAGCTGGGCTTACATTGAATGACACAAGCTGGCCCTTATCTCCGCTTGCAAATTCTTTCACAAGTTGGCAAGCTGTTCTCCCATACATGTTCAGAGTTAAAACTCCCACCAGAAGAGGAATTACACCCAAGAGAATACTGCCAGAGTTCACAATTACAGATCAGACAGCCTTGAAAACAGAAAAAAGAAAAAAAAGATAGTCTAAACAGCATAGATAAAACAACAAAAATTGTTGGAATCAAATGGCAATAAATTAGCAGACAGAGAAATTAAACTAGGGATGAAGGAAAAGTCAAAAGCGGTAACATAGAGATGAAAATTCCCAAATTCATAGTTGGAAGTATAAATATAACATGAATCTCAGAACATAAATCAAACATTTAATGTGCGTCTTATTGGAATACCAATAAATCGGATCCAGGAGCCCAGAAAGAAGCAGACACACACCACAAAACAATGAGAATTGAAGTTCACCTAATTTCTGAACAAACAGAAGCAGAGTCAAAGAACGATTGAGAAACAGGGAGATGAGTTGAAAATCAGATATAACTCTATAATTCAGAAGCAGAGGAACGAGACGTATCCAAGAGAAATTGAGAGAGAGAAAGAAAGGTATTGTTTGATCGTGCGATCAGACGCGAATTTGTAATTTGCATTTTGGCGGAACCTAACAAATTGCTTTGTTTTCCCTCCAAACCCACTTTGGCGAACATAAAAGGAAAATTGTAACGTATATTACATTTATTGATGTTAAATTTTTGCCATGGATAGGTTATACAAGAGAAAGCTATTTTATATTATTTTAAAAGATAATTTATATTTAAAATTAAAAATTAAAAATTAAAAACCAACAATTTAAAGTGTGTATGAGATAATAAAACTTATAGTTACTTGTATTAGAAATAACCTTTACAAATATTCAAGTCTTGTACTTAAAAATGAATGTAATTAATATAACACATTTTTTATTTAATTATCTTCCAATACTTACTAATTAACAAACTAAAAATATAGCATAATTTATAAAACATAAAGTTTAAAACGCATTAATTTATCAGATAATCTATACAGTTTATTAAGGAAATAAAAATAATTTAAAAAGAAAAATATCATTTTCCATTTTTCAGGTTATATATAAAGGAAAAAGAGTAAAAAATATGAATAAAATGTTGTTTTATAAAATTAATGTTTTTACATTTTTAATTTATATATGTATGCTGATTTTAATTATGTCATTATGATAGAATGTGATAAATATAAAACAAACTATTGAAATCATGAATAATTTAATATATTTTTTATTTTAAAAAAATTTATAATAAAAATATTTAATAATTATATATCAAGTAATTATTAAAAAAACAAATTAATATTTATATAGATTCTTATGTAATGATATAAATATTTATTTTTGATTAATTAATTAATTGTTAAAATAAATATTTTTTTCATGTCATTTTTCTCTGAAATAAAAAATATTTATAAGTTTTAACCTTATCTTTCAATATCATTGCTAGAAATTTTATTTTCCATTTATTCAAATTTATGTTGCAAACAATGATGGATTGGCTTAGATTTTTTTTTTTTAAATCCAATCTAATTCAGCCTATTTAGGGTTAGGGTCAAATCTAATTCCCACTAAACCCTAAACCCTATTTACATCCCTCTTTAACATCATCAACAAAAAATATGTTTATGTATTGATAGAGAGGAAACTAGATATTTTGCATTTGTTGGACGAGATAGGAGTTAATAAGCCATTGTTCTTAGGAACTAATTAAGATGTCAAATATTACCCTCTTTTATGGCTTCCACATTTATTAAGACTCCTCTAATAGTAAAAGAACTGTCAAAGGAGCAGTCATATTTACCATTAATTTAGAGTTAAATTCATGATTTTAATCCCTAACCTAACAATGATAGATTATTTATACGTTCTCACTTTTCCTTAGGAGTCAAATCTCTTGTTTATTATTCACATCCCACAATTTGGAACATAACCAGTTTCAAAAGTGTCCATTGCACAGAAAGCACAATGAGGAAAACCTCAGATTTAGCATATTTCAATCCTTCTTTCTTTCTCTTTCTATTCAAGTACAATTATCAGTCATGTTAGTGATTGAGAGAATTCAAATGACATTCATACTAAAATTCCATATAATGTCCTTCCTGTCATCAAAGAATTAAAACAGTAAGTGTCTTCAACTTGACCAGGTGGTTAATGTTGCAGCTATCTTTATCATAAAAAACATGATGCCAACATTCATTCTAAATGTTCATCAAGGCATGTCGACCTGCGAACTTCCCTCCCCTCAGCCTCAGCCAACAGTATCTAAATCAACATCTGCATCTGTCTCACCATCTATCATTCCAGCCTCGACTTCAGCATCTGCTTCCAATTGACCTGCTTCCTGACCTACATCAGTGTCTGAGCTATGCTTCTGAAGTTCTTCGGGCGTTGTGGTTCCACCTTGAGTACCCGGGACACCGGCACCATCAAACTCCATAGGTGTTGCTGTGGAATCTGTTCTAATGCCATCTCCATCGATCTCAGTTGCAGTTGTAGCAATCTATTATTTTAAGAGAGAGAAAAATGACATTAGCCAAAGTGATTACTGGGACTCCTTTTAAACATTGGATTCGTTATTACAGATACAAAATAAAGACAAAATAGAGAACATTTGAGACTAAAAAATGATGTGTCACAATGTTTTGGTTTTTTTGATGTGTTCTAAAACATAGAGCACTAATCCTTCTCGTAAAATTCTAACACTCCTCCTAAGCTCGAAGCTTGTTATAAATAAAACCTTTTAAGTAAAAGAAATCAAGCAGTATACTGAGACTGAATGGACGGACTCTGATGATTCTATAATTTTAAATGACATTTAAAGAAAAAGTATTAGAATATACTTTTGGATATTTCCATATATTCTAACAAGAAAAATACAATGGAGCGCAGTAGAAAGAAACAAATGCATAAAACAGCTAAAGTACCAGCATCATTGCCTAAGGTATCAGGGATAAATTCTTTTTTTTATTATTCAATTGACATATAGTAAAGAAAATATAAAACAGCAATGTTTTGGTTTTTTTTATGTGTTCTAAAACATAGAGCACTAATCCTTCTCGTAAAATTCTAACACTCCTCCTAAGCTCGAAGCTTGTTATAAATAAAACCTTTTAAGTAAAAGAAATCAAGCAGTATACTGAGACTGAATGGACGGACTCTGATGATTCTATAATTTTAAATGACATTTAAAGAAAAAGTATTAGAATATACTTTTGGATATTTCCATATATTCTAACAAGAAAAATACAATGGAGCGCAGTAGAAAGAAACAAATGCATAAAACAGCTAAAGTACCAGCATCATTGCCTAAGGTATCAGGGATAAATTCTTTTTTTTATTATTCAATTGACATATAGTAAAGAAAATATAAAACAGCAATATAACTATGACCCTCAAGGGGCCGTACATAATTTCCAAAGACGAATGCTATTTATGTCAGATATACATACAGAAATTCAGAACAAACAAAGACTAGATGGGCATGGCAAAACAGAATTGTAAGCCAAGGTTGGTTTGAAAAAGAAAACCCGTGTGTACAGAAACACTGAGCTACACAAAGCTGTCAGGACAATTCAGTTGTAGACTTATTGTTGAAAGATGCTTTAGAAGTCTTTTTATCATTTTCCACCACTACACCACTCTCCTATTCACACTTCCTATTGCGTTCTTCAAAATTCCATTTTTTGAATAATTTTTCACTTATTACATAATTTAGATTATAGTTTATTTGGGTTTCATTTGTTTTCTAATTCAAACACAAGGGTTTGGCCTCTTGAAGCTTCTAGGCATTTTCAGGTAAATTCTTTCAACAGTTTCACATACTCATTCATTCAAAGGAGCTTCTGTCCACTTGATAAACTCCTTAGATGTCTAAGAGCCTGTTTAACTAAAGAAAATGTTTTCCGTTTTCTTTCCTCATTTTTATTTTTTATTACAACGATGTCACATTGTTTTCATTTTATTATCTATTTTCAAAGATTCGTAATAACTATTTATTTTTTCACTGTTTCCCATATAGTTTTTTTTAAAATGGTGGTAATTTTTTAACTACGAGTGAAGAAGCAGAAAATATTTCTCAAACCAAACAGCCCCTAAATTTCCCTCTAATATCAAATATTTCGCCCATCTAGTTCCCAGTAGGACATAATTGTGTGTTTTTCTTCACCTTTATCTCGGGTTACAAGGAAGGTCCAAAACCTTTCATACTGGTAGGAACAACTTCCAGTATCCAGACACTAAGATTGACCTGGAATCAAACTTTTCTCAAGGAAACTAGATCCTATTTGGCTACAAAGCCACAGGCATAATATCATGTTTCGAATTCATTAAAGAAATGGTCATTTATGTGACACAAGAAAACAAACAGCTTAGAATATGCTTAATTGCTAATGCATTAATCTCTGACGTGAAAACTGAATTGCCAGCTCCATTATAAATATAATAGTTGAACTAGAAATACGGAAATACAAAAATAATATCCTGACAACAACTTGAGGCTCTACGGGGGAGGAAGAAAGTATTGAATAAAACCAGCAACAATTGGAACCCCCAAATTCTACATTCCTCTACAAAAAAGTATTTCTCTTGAACTGATGTATTTAAAAAAGAAAAATGGAAAGGTGAATCTGAATCAAGAAACCTGATTTTCCTCAACTTGATGAGTCGAGCCTTTTGTTTCTTCCTTTTTACTACGTTTACTTCTGTCATTTGGTTTAGCTTGGTATTTAGATCGGACATCAGGTGGCAAAAGTTCTAGTGGGACAACACCTTCAATGCCATGATCAGTAAACTGCAACCAAAATGCATAATTTTCATTTTACCTAAAACAGTAAGCAGAATAAATTGAAGATTAAAAAATAGATTATTACCTTAGAAAACCCCTCCAAGTCTTGTCTCGCTGCAAGCCGAAGACCTTTCCAACAATAAACCTGAATTGAAAAGAAAAATAGATTTATAAAATGTATTCAAGTTCAAGGTCGACCATCAGACAATAAGTGTGCACTTAGAAAATCTGGAAG